CTGATGAAGACACTAGACTGGAGTGTCGAAACGTTGGGTCTTGATTACAATTCGACTGGGCTTTGTAATAATTTATTTAAACCAGAGTAGCGAGCGAAACATGATTGATATACCTGGTTGCAGTGAACGAACAAACTTTATAGCTATCATGAAGTTTTGAAAGATTACAAAAATACTCTTAGACTAAAGAAACATGAGTTCTACCAACAAAAACTCAATGAGTTAGAATCAGCAGCTGAAAAAACCCACAGTCATTCTGGAAAGTGCTAAAAACAGTAGATGATGACATAACGAACACAACACGCAACAATATACCTGAATCACAATGGTATTTACATTTTCAAACCTTACATTCAAAACACAATCTTAATACAGAACAGCAAGAAATACTAAAAGAACTACATAGACATGAACAAAATTTGAGCCAGCATGATAAATTAGATCTACCAATATCAGGAACAGAAATTAGAAATGCTACCAAAAAATTAAAAAGAAACAAGTCCTCATACTCTGATAGGATAAAAAATGAGATGCTTAAATACAGTATAAATTTTATGCTCCAGGCCTACGTTAAACTTTTCAACCTGATCCTAAAAGCAGGAATCTTCCCAACACAATGGTGTGAGGGATTGATTACACCTTATCTTTAAATCTAATGACAGGTCCGATTGTAATAATTATAGAGGAATATGTGTGTCGAGTTGTCTTGGGAAACTTTTCTGTCTCATTCTTAATGAGAGACTGCTGAAATTCACAAAAGAGAATAACTCGATACACCCATCACAAATAGGATTTCTACCCGGCCACAAAACGGCTGATCACATCCTTACTTTAAAAACTTTAACTGATAAATATGTTAACCAGAAAACGAATGGACGACTATATAGCCTACATGTTTTGTCAATTTCAAAAAAGCTTTCGACTCGGTTTGGCATGACAGATTATACTTAAAATTACTTAAGAATAAAATCAATGGAAATTTCTACAAATTAATGAAAAACCTATATTCTAATTCAAAATGTGCTGTTAAACAATCAAATCACAGAACATCGTTTTTTCCATATAACAAGGGGGTACGTACGGTATGATCCCCTTGCTGTTCAATAATCAATATATTTCTAAATGACCTACCCCCCGTATTTAGCAACATACATTCGGATCCGGTAATTTTACCCAATGAAACAAAACTAAACTGTCTACTATATGCCGACGATCTTGTCATCTTATCAAGATCTAAGGTTGGTCTTCAAAACTGTTTAAATCAATTAAACGACTGGTGTAAAAAGTGGATGATGCATGTCAACATGAAAAAAACCAAAGTCATGTTCTTCCAAAAACTATCAAATAAACAACCCACACCAAATTTTCAAATTGAGAACAAAGTTCTCCAAGTGACTCAAGAATACAACTACCTAGGACTTAGCCTCTCACCTAACGGAAAGTATACTTTAGCAGTTAAACAACTTGCTGACAAAGCTCATCGTGCCATGAACTCCACAAGGAAAAAACTTGATATTTGCAGGCTACCCCCAAATCTAGCAGTCAAAATATTTGATAGCATAAATTCGCCTATTCTTCTATACAACTCCGAGGTGTGGGGCGCTTTTGCAAACCATGACCTCAACAAATGGGACCAATCCCCAACTGAAAAAATACACTCGAAATTTTGTAAAATTTACCTTGGTGTAAATCGCAAAGCAACTAACATAGCAAGCAGAGGTGAAATGGGAAAATTCTCACTACTGATTGCTATTCTCAAAAGACTTATGAAATACATAGTACACATCAACACCCTACCCGATTATACCATTGTAAAGCAAGCGTTTCTTCTTTCTAAGGACTTGTTTCTAGACAACAAACCAAGTTTCTACTCCAATGTAATGCACTTAATTAAAAATTATGCAAGTTCCACAGACGAACTCAATGACTTAGAACTCACAACAAACTCACATCTACGTCAATACGTAGAAAACGCCAAAGTCAAATACACCAACTTTCGGAAACATAAATTAAACAACAGTTCCAAACTAGATTTCTACAAAAAATTCAAAACCGACTACAAACTAGAAGAATACCTTACAAACACAAAAAACCAACCACAAAGAAGAGCACTTAGCCAATTCCGCATAAGTTGCCATAAACTTAATGTTGAATGTGGCCGTTACCACAATGTGCCTCGTGAGCAACGGCTGTGCGAGTTTTGTGACATGGGTGAAGTTGAAGACGAATGTCATTTTGCCCTATTTTGCAAATATTACACAAATGATAGAAAAATTTTAAATGAAAAACTGCGATTAGAATTTACGACAAAACTAGACTGTCATGATGATCTTCAATCCATCATGTCATCTAGTGACCCAAAACTGTTAAATGTATTTTCGAATACATCCTGACCTGTTTCACCAAACGAAATGAATGCCTTGAAACCGGAAATAACATAACAAGACCTAATGACTAATGGTCCTGCCTTACATAAATACATATATATGTCTTGCTATACTAGCCTAAATTGAAACTACTTTAAACTTGTAAATATTAATTGAAACTACTAATTTGTAAATAGCTAGTATTGTTACTTGGTAGATTAGTTAATTGTTAATATTAGTTACTCTGAATGCTTTAGCAATACCTGTAAATAGGTCATGCGAATAAAGCTCTTTTTAAACACATATACATAATACAAACTATTTACATGATTATTCTTTAGACAATTAGCAAACATAAATACATAACAAACATACAAAAGTAACAAAACTATTTACATACTTATTGTTTTCGAAAATGTAGCTTCATTAGTCTTTTGAAACAACTCATAGAATTGGATTGTTTTGCAGTAATTGATAAGTTATTCCAAAGAGTTGCTCCACTAGAACT